CCCCCCCCCCCCCCCCCCCCCCCCCCCCGCCGCTCCCGCCGTTACCTGATCCCTGGCCACTACCGAAGCCAAATCCAAATCCTGCACCTATACCACTAAAACCACCACCTCCACCACCGCCGCCGCCGCCACCGCCACCTTCACTACTGCCACCAGCTCCTCCTATAATTTGACCAAATCCTACGCCATTTTCAACAGGAATCTCAAAGACTGTAGCTACTGCATCTCCCTGGAGTTTTCTAGCTGACGTATCACATGCAAATACTCCCAAAAGAATTAGAAAAATAAATGCCTTTGAATATTGTGTCGACACTGCATGAAAATAAAATACGTATATAAGTATTTTATTTCGATGAGATTAATAACAAGTAAATTATCTGTTACAACATGTTAAAATAAATAAATAGTCTAAAACATTTATACGTAATATTAGTTTAAGAAGACAAAAAAAGGTTGAAGAATCCTTACTTTTCATTGTTGGTGTTCGTATTTAGTGAAAGAAATAAAGTGAGTTTACCAGATATAATTATACACAAAACCAAGAGTTTACATATATATATTAGAGATATAATATAGCTGAAGATAATTAATGTGAGAACCAAAACTGAACATAAATATTATATTTGTAACAGTAATATTTAATGGATGAAAATTTATCCACTTAATTAAAAACCTTCATAAAATTTGAATTATAACGCACATTATCTTCCTCTTGACATTCTAAAGGTTGGCCGAATCTAAAACTTTATGATAAATATGCTTTGTAAGTTGACACTTAGATGTAAATACAAAAATAATATATCTTTTGGTCGACCTAGTCTAATATATAGAACACTTTAAAACATACTAGTCCAACATGCACTGCCCCAATTTTCTTGCAATTTATTGACTCTTGTTTTCATGACTATGGCTCTTGGAGTGAGTAAAGCAGCCAGGCCTATAGCTTATGTCATAATTTAAAGATGTCAACATGCATCCCAGCTTCCACCAATCCGATGCTCAAATAGTTAAGGTAAACCCAAAAAATTCATTCTCTTAACAAACTCCAGTTTGTAAATCAATTATCAAAATATATGTATGTAAACAAAGTTTGTAACCGATTAAACAAAGTTTTTGTTGCATTAAATAAACATTTTACAGTGTCACAAGCCACATTATTAAGGATGTGTTCATGAATAATATTGATTGCTAGGAGTTCAAAGAATATAAAAATCAAATCACGATCAAATAGGAAATTAATATTAGCTAAGAAATTTGTGAACTTTGTTCCTCACACTCAACGAAATATATATTCATCATTCACAATTATACTCAGAACTAATAACCCACAGACATGTCCAAGTAAAAACTGATATACTGAATAAAGTGTACACAAATAATTTAGCAATATAATTTTACATGATAATCTGTTCAAAATTGGCACGAGGCTACAAGTGCAAGATATTGAAAAATGCTTCGTTTGCAGCAACAAGATAAAAGAAACTGATATTCAATGTATAAACATCAAATAACAAGGAGTGGCAGAGGATAGGACTGCATATCGAGTTGCTCGATAGCAAAAATGTGGTTACATTCTAACTTCTATGCCTTCCTCTGACAGGTGCTCTTTCACAGCTTGGATGGGAATCTGAAATTAAAGAGACAAATTATACGGCCTACATCAGAGCTCCATATTATGTGTGCCTATATTACAACATGGAACTTAAAAATGCTTTATCCCAGAATTGTTGTATGTTATTATACCACGTTTGGTAAGTAGACAAGAAACAAGTTATTCATGTTGTATTCCAGAATTAATACATGTTGCAGGTTAGTTTTAAACAAACACTTCCCTCCCTAAAACTCTAGTTCAACCATGTTTATGTTCATTTTTACTATCTCGTTAGTGTTAGTGTGTATGAGGTGGTGGGTGGGGTTCTGGATGAAATATGAGGATCTATACTGCATCCTTTTGTACCATGTGTCACGGACTTAGAGTCTCACTAAAGTTTTGTGATCTTGTAAGCTCAAGTAAACCCTTTGAAACTAAGAAGAAGAGCTTTGAAAGAAGGCTTTGTGTTGATTGTGGAATGCTTTACACTTTGTTGGATGAGTTTGCAAATGGGAGACCCTCTATTTATACTACTTCCTAGGGGCCTTTGTGTAAATAATATTTACAATACAAGTCCCTCTATATTTACACTTTGATCTACATTCTAGAATTCTCTACAAGTTTTAGGGAATTCTAAAGCCTTCTTGAAAATATTTAGGGGTTCTAGAGTTTTCCATATACCTCTCCACAACTCTAGAATTCTCCCTCTATAATAACACTTTGGTCCACATTCTAGAATTCTCTACAAGTTCTAGGGAATTCTAAAGCCTTCTTGAAAATAGCTAGGAGGCTCTAGAGTTCTCCATAAACCTCTCCAAAACTCTAGAATTCTCCCTTTATATTTACACTTCGATCCACATTCTAGAATTCTCTACAAGTTCTAGGGAATTCTAAAGCCTTCTTGAAAATAGCTAGGAGGCTCTAGAGTTCTCCATAAACCTCTCCAAAACTCTAGAATTCTCCCTTTATATTTACACTTCGATCCACATTCTAGAATTCTCTACAAGTTCTAGGGAATTCTAAAGCCTTCTTGAAAATAGCTAGGAGGCTCTAGAGTTCTCCATAAACCTCTCCAAAACTCTAGAATTCTCCCTTTATATTTACACTTCGATCCACATTCTAGAATTCTCTACAAGTTCTAGAGAATTCTAAAGCCTTCTCAAAAATATCTAAGAGGTTCTAGAGTTCTCCATAAACCTCTCCACAGCTCTAGATTGGCAAAGTGGCGGGATGGCTTTGTTTAAAGTCATATATGTCACTTAAATATACACTTCTGGAAGAAATAAAAAGGAATTTTCAAGAGAGGTTAATTATGCTAACAACCGACAGATATTACTTAGATCCATTTAAGAAAATATTAAAATCCCCTTTATAGGTGAGGCTTTGCTCGTTAAACACAAATCGTAGGTATCTGCTTTCTCTGAAGAGGTGCATGCTGCCAGCACTCAGCAGAGACATCGGCATCTACCTTTTATTGATTATCCAAAGATTTACGTGTCTCTCATCTAACTTCTGCCAATCAATCTCTTTTGTTATCGAGCTCACAGAAACTGAACATTGATCGACTTAAAAGGCACAAAAAGAAAAAATGGTTTAATATAGTCATCTTACCTCCTTCCTATGGAAAATTCCAGCAGCAAGGGCAGCAGAAGCATTTGTTTCTCTGAAGACCTCTGTAAAGTGTTCAACAGCTCCAGCTCCACTGCTTGCAATCACAGGAATGCTTACAGCATCTGAAATCAACTTAATTAGGTCTATATCAAATCCCTTTCCTTGACCTGAAAAAGCATAAGAAGAGCAATAATTAGGGGTTACAATGTCACACAAATACATGAAGCGGATTCTTGCAAAGAGCGAAAAAGGAACGCACAGGTTGAATGACCAATCTATTATCCTAACAAGAATGGAAAAAAAAAAACACAAAATTGCAAGCTTTGGAGTAGAGCTAATGGGTGAATGAAAATTCTGTCCTAAGGCAATAAAAAAAGTCATATTAAGAGTGGCCAACTATGCAGGTTTTGTATGGTTCCATTCACAAGTACCATGGATCACACCATGTAAGTTAAGAAGGGAGAAATAGAAAAATAATTACACAAGGAAGGCGTAATGTAGCAAATACTCCTCCCATCCAATTTTACCATTTGTTAAAAAAACTTTTCAATGCAGTGCAAGTAATGGGTTCAAAGATGAAGCTTTCTTTGACTTTTCACAGATTTGAACTTCTAATACAAAAGGATGTTTTTTATTTCTTTGCTTCTAAAACAACTCCTTTCTGGTGCAATGGGAACAATTTCTGGACAAACAAAAGCAGAAAAGACATGCAAATCCTAATCTTAGGGATGATGGCGGGGCAGATGCGGGGCGGGGTGGGTTTAAGGCTATATGGGGTGGGGCAGGTTTAAGGTTGTGCGGGAAGCTTTCTTTGACTTTTCACAGATTTGAACTTCTAATATAAAAGGGAGTTTATTATTTCTTTGCTTCTAAAACAACTCCCTTCTGGTGCAATGGGAACAATTTCTGGACCAAACAAAAGCCGAAAAGCATGCAAATCCTAATCGTTAGGGATGACGGCGGGGCGGGGTGGGTTTAAGGCTATGTGGGGTGGGGCAGGTTTAAGGTTGTGCGGGGCGGGTTGAAGTGGACTTTTTTAAAAATTAATGCGGGGCAGGGCGGGTTGTGGGTATATGTGATTTTATGTGAATTTAAATTTAATTTTAAGTTTTTACATATTATAAGAGTGATAGAGCAATTATTTATTAAGATAATTTCTATAAATCTACTAAAATATTCAAGATAGTAAATGAAAATGGTTTAATATAAAATAATACAATTTCTTACATATTTTCCAATTGACCTCTAAAAAATAAATTTTTAAGTCACTATCCTATTAAATTAATATAACTTAATGAAAAAAAGAATTTATTTTTATGAATTTTATTTTTAGTATCAAACTTAACTAGAAAAAGAAAATATTAAAAAGTTATGCGGGGTGGGGCGGGTTTATGCGGGGGTGGGCGCGTTGAAAATGAAAAAAGTTGTTATGTGGGGCGGGGTGGAGCGGGTTGAAAATGAAAAATGTTGTTTGCGGGGCGGGGCGGATTAAAAATTTTGTAGGTTAAGCTCAACCCGCCCCACCCCGCACCACCCCATTGCCATCCCTACTGCTACGGTTGTTTGGCGAATATGTAGAAATACCAAATTATGGCGCATTGACCATCTTCAAACCCATTCTAACACAACCTCGAATGTAGAATATATATACGTCAAATTCATGAACATCGTACCATCACAATCAATGCAGTTTAGCAGTATCTCCCCAGCTCCTAATTCCTCAACAGCTTTCGCAAGCTCATAAGCTCCAATAAGGCGGCCTTCTCTCCCACCACTCACCTTGAAACATAGAATTAAATTGAACTTAGGGTGAATATATAAAAACTATCAACCGTGAAAAACAATCTTCATATTCCATGTGATACCAATAAGAGAATGAGATTACAAGAATAACGGTTTGTAATTTATAACAAAAAAGAGTCATTGCCCACCGTGCACTGGTACCATGCATACTCTTCTCCATTTGGACCTGAAACCAGTAGACGCACTTCAGTCATTACCTTCTTGCCCCATTTTATCTTGGTCAAGTGATAATGTGATTTTAAGCCGTTCTTGGGAAAATGATTTCTCTTTCTATGAGGAAACACTGGATGCAGGTAAACTACTAAATTACTTTGGAAGAGAATATCTGACTGCAATTACCTGGGTTTCTCACTTTCACAGTCCTGAATTCCACAGCCTTGGGGTCCTTTACGTACACCCTTCGAGGATCAATGCTTACAACTACTGCCTACAATATCACAACACATCCAACCAATTACAACATTTGCACA